TTCACCCGAAGCTTTGGCGCTGCTTGAAGATCAGTGACTGCTCCTACTGGCACCGCACCAACACTGTCTACTGGAAGAACCTCGCATATCAGCACTACGCAATCTTCTACGAGAGCGACGAGTGCAATACGGACGACAAGTATTTCTTCGCTTCGGATATTGGCAACCCTGCCGGTGGAGAATACACGTTCAAGAAGAACCAGGTGTTTCAATCCATGACGCTCGGCAAATACGACGACAAACCGACGTTCAAGCACGTGAACAACTGCCCAAGTGACAAGGAGAACACCGTGGTGAACGAGACAGGCGTTCTCTTGACCTGGGCCAATGACGGGCTGTCAACGAACTGGACCAACTCTCTTCCGTGACTCTCTATGTAAAACATCCAGCATTAACATGATGATATCTCAATCATGTCAGCATTGCCGCAAGTATTAAAAAAAAGTAATGTGAAGAAAGAAAAACATGTGTGTAAAGTGACGGGTAGTGTGGATGGCGCGGGTTCTAAATACTGTGACACCCAAAGTGGTTGGAGTAGTAGGCGATGCATGACTCGTCAAGGCTAGCAGCCTGATTCTCCACCTTTTATAAAATGATTAACACAAAAGTGAAGTCGAAAATGGTGAGCGAGGTTCCTTTGATCTTAATTAAAATGTAGAGTCTACTTCTTCTCCAAAACGTTTAGAATATGTTTTGCAACTAGGTCGCTTGCTCGAATAGGCTTCACTTTATTCTTCGCCGTCTCCGTCCACTTCGTCAGAGTGCTGATGGCAATTGCCAGTTGGAGTGCATCTCTTTCTTCATGTGCTTTGTGCTGTACTCCTCTGTACCACAAATCCCAAAAAAACACATTAGTTATAAGATCAACCTATGGCAAAAAGTCCGTCGACTTACCTCAATTCCTCCGCGATCTTCGGGGCAGTACAATCACTAAAAAGTAATTCTGGAATAAGAGGCTTCCCAAGCAGCAGATTAGGGACAGATACGAATCGGACGGCTGCTAGTCGCTTGGCAATCCACTCGGTCACCCGGTTGGCACGGTAGATAACTACAGTAGGGAGATTAGCCAGCGTGGTTTCGAGCACTACAGTCCCAGACACTGCGACTGCTGCATCGGAGCTCTATTAAGTCACAATGATAAGTGCGGTTAGCTCTAGAGCATCATATAGGTTCGCAGAGTCAGATCCACGCCATTACCTGGAAAAGTCGAAGTCGGTCTTCTGTGTCGAGATCAGTTAGCACCTGACACTTTACATGAGCGTCATGGGCTGCAATACGAGCTTTGACTAGCTCCTCAACAGCAGAAAGTGTAGGGAACACAACAATGATCTATATACACACCAACGTCATAAACGTGTGCTGCTACAGTACGCTTAAAAAGCACTCACCTCTTGCTGCTTCTCCAGGCTCTTCTGCTTGAATTTCTCAATAGCTTCGAGAACGAGCTGCGACGAATTCTTCACTTCATTTACTCGACTGACGTACAGAAAATACAGACTTCAGTATGTCAAACAATAGCAATAAAACATTCGCTCCGTTACCTTCCAACAAGCGCACAGATCACGAACGCATCCTCAGAAATTCCAATTTTTTCTCTCACACGAGTTCTGACACTTGTATCTCGTCCCTTTACCGCCATGTCTTGGAATAGTCGACCACGCATGAGCAAGTCGTTTTGATCATACTTTGACAAATTCAGCAAAGCATCCACTCCAGTTTCAGCATCATATACGGTGATACACTCCGAAGATACGGCCACTTCACTCCCGTAGACCCCGTTAGCTTCCAGAAAGTCTTCGACTGCTGGATGCCCCACAAAGTGACACCAAGATGGACCGTCGTTCTCCAAGCTCTGGTTCTCCTCCGTCGGGTTAAAGATGTCTTCCTCGAAGGGTAAAATCGTGAACATAGCATCCAGAAGCTGCTTTAACTCGGTAAAATCCCGTTTGCCGCGGTGTTTGTAAGCCCAAACGGATGGAGCGACGTAGTGTACCTTCTTGATGCGTTTACCAGATCCGTTCTGCTCTCTCACTTGTAGTGCTTTTAACACCCGAAACGTGAACCCTTTGGAGTCAATGGTCAGTATTAAGTCCGGGTTAAATGTCTCGATATCACGCAGTGTGTCTTGAATCCGTCGCTGTGTTAAATGAAACAACAATGTTAGCGTTTACAAGTGTTATTTTCCTTTGTAACATTACGTTTTGACTCACCTGGAACCGCCAAATGTGCGGCACCACTTCCAGAAGCCCCATGACGGAGAGCTCCTGCATGGGGAAGAGCGAATCAAAGTCGCCAGCTTTACACATGAGCGGTCTACAAGTACAGTACAGTACTCAACAAACGCATCGTCACCAGGATTTTCTACTGCTTTTCGTACCCTCCGATACCTCGAAATTCTAGACTTTGAGGCGGTGGGTGTCTGTGCAAGGCACGTATAACTTTGGCGCCGATGGCATCGCCTGATGCTTCCCCAGCGATCACGTAGAGCTTCAAAGGTGCGAGGAGACTCTCCCCGGTCGAGAATGGACGCACAGACAACCGCCTGCGAACGAAGCGATGTCGCCACATCTTCTGGTTAAATTGCGACTTTGCAATTATAGAACATAATAACAACAAAAACATCAATAATTTGGAAACCAAATAATTGCAGCTACAGTGCGAAGAATTGCAGTAAAACCAGGGGCTCCAAAAAAAGCGTTGCAATAATATTTTCACACCTCGCGAGAACAAGTCCTCAATTAATTGCTGTGAACAATTATGGCAATTATTGTTTGTCGTAAGTTCGACACAAAATTAGCCGTTATTGCCAAATTTTAGCCTCAGGATGCTGCTCTATTGTCGTGTCTATGCGTGCACACCTTCCATCCACGTCTCCCACGCCGTCGAAACACTATTTCGCTGCATCTCTAACCGTCAAGCTCCGTCTTCTTCTCGTTGATGACCTTGAGCACTGTAGGGTTTGTCACCTGCTTCACTTGGTCCAGGAACACAGCGCGACGAGAGCTCAGCTCCTTCTTGGTCTCCACAGACAAGTTCTCGAGCTTCTGGGCCTTCAGCAAAGCCTGCAAACACAGCAAGAACTTCTGCTTACGGAGCGCAATATCGAACGCAGCCAAGTGCGTCTTGACGTCCTCCGACGCATAACGTTGCAGGATGGACACGAAGCGCCAAGCCTCCTCCAGAGCAGGCTTCGCAGCGAGCTTGTCACCGAACGGATCGTCGTCCTTAGCACGTGTAGGACCGGGATTGGCCTTGGCCTTGCCGTTCTTGGTAGCTTCACGCTCCTTGTCCTCAACTTCTTTGTGTAGCTTGGCGTTGAGCTCTTCCTCCTCTTTCCTCTTGAACTCGGCCTTCCGAGCCTTGGCCAGAGCGCGCTTGGCCTTCTTCTTGTCAGCAGCCGACATGTTGGCGTTCGCAGCAGCGATCTTGGCCTCCTCCTTGGCCTTCTCCGCTTCCTTCTCCTCCAGAGCTTCGTAACACGCGATCGCGCCATGAGCAGCTTCCACAAAGAACGGACGGCCGAAGATCTCGTCACACAGACGCAACATCTGGATGTACGCACGCAACGTCATCTTGCGGATACAGTACGTGTGGAAGTCGAACTGGTCCTCCACGAAGTCGTTAAAGTGTTTCTCCACCGCGAAGAAGCGCTTCAATGCCAGTCCGTACTTCTTCTGACGCAGTTGGCTCTTGCCACACTCGATCTCGTACCACATGCACTGCATCTCGTACAGACTCTGCTGCGGGTCTCCTTCGTGACGAGTAAAGAGCGCAATGGTAGCGTCAGCTTCTTCCACGCGGTCAGCATGCAGCAGATACTCCGTCGCCTTGTTGTTGATGTATCGGTCGGCCAGATCCAGCTTGCGACCTTCCACCATCACGTCCGCAGCCTTGTTCAGGTCGCCCATGTGCTTCAAAATGCGAGCTTTGCGCTGGAAAAAGTCCAGTAGCGTTGGCTCCTGCTTAATGCACTTCTCAATGTACTCGATAGCCTTCGTGTAATCACCCAAGCGATCGTAGTGCTGCGCTGCGAGGTAGTTCGTCCACAGCAGCACTTGCTCCGTGTTATTGGCCGCCATCGAGTTGTCTCCCATGTCCAGTGGCTGCTTGGCTTCCAACGTCTTGATGTATCCGAGAATCAGCTCCTCCAGCGTCTTCACCTTGTCCTTGTCGGCATACAAAGGCTTGAGATCTGCTCCCAACGACGGCACGTTCTTGTTCAACTGTCTCTTGATAAACACGTCTGCGTTCGTCTGAAACTCGGCGCCGCGTGTAAAATCCAACGGGAACCGCAGCGAGATCAGCGACGTGGCTCCAATTGTCGTCTTCTTGTCGGCGTAGAAGTCCACTAGCGCCTTCTCCAACTCAGCTCCGTTCGCCTCCTTAATAAAGTCGATCGTCTCGGACAGCAACGGCGTCTTCTTGTGTCCAGACTTAGCTACAAACAGGTCTTTGCGCTGGAGAAGAGAACATTGCACGCCACGCTGGTACTCTTCGTTGTCAAAGTTGATCTCCAGCAGCTCTTCAAAGACCGCGCGAGCCTCGTCGTAGCGCTCCAGCTGCAACAAGAACTGTCCTCTCTTCTGACGCCACGCTAACGTGTCCGTGATCTGGCTCTCGTTCTCTTCCAGATGAGCTAGCGCCTTCTCTGCGTCGCCCGCTTCTTCGATTAATTGGTTCTGGTACAAGTAGATCTCGCTGTCTTCGTAATTGGGGACACTTTCGCCGTCCAGAGTACTGAAATACTTGTCAATAATGTCAATAGCCATCTGGTAGTTGCCCACGAGGTGGTGCGCGATGGCAAAGCCGATCCAGTTGTTCCGATTGTTGGGCTTGAGCGTGAGCATGGTGCGACGTGTCTCGGCGAAGCCCTTGAGGTCGCGCATCTGCACCTGCAGGAGGTACAGGTCCCGCAGGATCTGCAAGTTCTCCGGGTCGATTCGGATGGCGTTTCGGTAGCACTTGATGGCCTCGTTGTAGTTGCGATCCGAGCGATACAACAGACCAAAGACGTGCCAGCACACGTGCGAGCGGAGGTCGTGACGAAGCCCGTTCTTGACGAACTCGTAGGCCTCTTCCTTGCGCCCCATACAGTTGAGCGTCAAGCCTTTCATGGCCAACGTCTCTCCGTGGTCCGGATGCTTCTTGAGGATGGCATCAGCAGCTTTCAGACCTTTCTTGTACTGCTTAATCTCGTAGCATTTCTAAACAGAAAAATACGATAAAGAACGAGATGATTGGCATGTTAAATGTGGAAGTTGACGCTACAGCTTGGAGACAGCGTTGCGGCGTCTAACAAGCGTGGAGAGGCAGGTGCTATGAAGGGAATTCATAGCTTCTTTGATGGGGACACATTTACGCACCACGATGGAACGAAAGAGCGCGCTCTCTTTCGCGGGCAACTGCTTGCTGGCCACCGCCATTGCCTCCACTCAACTCTGCGTCGTTGATTGGGATTTCTAAGCGCGTGGATCTAATCGGTTCTAAGCCAATAGTAGAAGCGTACAAGAGCCATCGTAATACTATTCGCCAAAACGTTTGCCTAGTGTTTAAGCCAATTACTGAAGTAAAAGCGGATACCTTCGGAGGACATCCATATCAGACAGATCTTTTCTCAAGCAATGGTACATGCTGCACCGTTGTGGTGGTGCACGTATCAACTACCGCTAAAAGAAACTCACGGGATCACTATTCACGTTCACAAGAGCAGAGTAGTGTATTCTTCTCCAAGTAAAAATGGATTATCCACGACCTTAAGTGTGTTGCTCGCCAATCTGACCGCGAAAAAGATTCGACAGCTTCCTACAGAAGCTGCTAATACACGACTGCCGCTAGAGCAGATAAGCAGGACCACACATTACTAGTAGTTGAGAAGGAACCTTGCGTCAACATCCATTGGTTGCTGTCGCACGTATCCTAACCTCACGAGCCGCCGATTACTGAGACTTCTCCTCGATCTTGGCCGCCAGCTTCTTGGCCGCATCCTCGCCGCGCTTCAGCGCTGAGTCGATCTGTCCAACGTGCGGGGCCACGTATGGCTTAATCAGAGTGTTGTAGATCACGTTAGAGCCCTGCAAAACGATGCGACCGTTAGAATTATGTTGCAGTCATGAAAAGACATTAGATATAACTGCTGTCGTACCTGGGTGCTCGGGTGGTAGGACCAGACAAGGAAGGCGATCTTAATGAAGAAGTAGAAGGGGACCCAAGACAGGACGAGGTCCGTGATGGACTCAGTGAGGTTGAAGAAGGAGTAGACAACCCAGTAAGTGAGCCACTGCGTGTCGTCGGTGGTGCCTGGCGTGTTAATGGCCTTGAACGACATGTAAGCCGGGTAGATAAAGCCCACCAGGCCCACCACCAGCTCCTCGCCGCCCACAACGAACAGCAGGATGCCCGCTAGCAGCGCACCGACGCAGAAGATGTAGAACTTGTCCACACCCGTCTGCTTCTCCAGCTCCACGATCTTGTCATACCGCTCCAGCTTGGCCGAGATCTTCTCCTTGTACTCCAACAGCTTGTCCATGCTTGCTTCTTACGTGTTCTATGCTAAAAACCTGGGGTGAGTGTGTGTCGCGTGCGGACCTCGGGCTTCTTTCGAAAGTGACCATAGAATCCTCCCCCTCGGATCAGCGGAAATCAACTTTTAGCCAATAAAAAACGGATCGATTAATGTTGAAATTTTTATATTGGCTGAAAAACGATCCTTCTTCAGGAGTGATGGTCGCGCCGCTTCGGTGGCAGCCAATCCCAAACATCTTGGATGATCTCCCCCAACCAAATCAGTTTTCGACCAATGGATTTCTTCCGACCATTGGCGTCTGTTTTCGCGGCGAAGCTTCTGATTCGTTAAAATAAATAAGACCCTCTTTAACCAGATTATCTATTTTGCCAGGTCCAGCCAGACGAGAAAAAAAAAGCTCAAGGTCAACAAGGACAAGCTCAAGTCCGCACCCGCGTGCGTCACGCGACCGAATTAGCGAAACTCCCGGCGCATAACGCTCGCTTCTCGTCTTATCTACTGCACCGCTGGCATCATTCCGATTGCTCGCTGTTTGCACCTTCAAACGCTTTCTACAAACTTCAAAATCGCGCCATGTACAACAACGACACGTCTCGCGACGCCGCCGCGGTCGATCTGTCGTTCTCACAGATCCTGGAGGTGCGTAGTACATTGCACCAACAGCAACGACGACGTCGCAAACCTCCAGTGACGAATGGGCAGCTCCAACGACCGGCTAATCAGCAAGTGCGACGATTCCCGCCGCCACCTCCAGGCACGCCATCAACGTTCCTCGAGAGCGAAGATAACGCACCTCCAGCGTATGGCAACGGCATGTTGGACTCAGTATATGAAGGTAGCGAAGATATACTTGAGGAGGGCGAAGAAGAGGCGCGTACGGGCGTCGCCACCCACATGGACAACAGCATGGAGGACGAAGATTGGACCAATGGGGACGACGGACAGCTCGGACAGGACATGTACAGGTTCGTGCAGCCAAGACGATTGTCTTCTTGGGTACAGGACGACGCAGTGTTCGCCTGTTTCAAGTGCCACACGGTCTTCTCGCTGCTGATCCGCAAACATCATTGTCGTGCATGCGGACGCATCTTCTGCTCGGCTTGTTCGAGTCAACGTGTGGTTATTCCAGTCGACTACGAGGCGACACCCGTAGCTCCGGCTTACAACTCGTTGACGACGAATGCTAGCGATCTGATTGGCAATATTAGCTGGTACCTGACGTCCTATTCCAGTCCCAACGCGGCCTCGGGCGTGGATATGAGTGGCAGTACAGCCATTCGACACTCGCAGTCATTCGTGGACTCCGGGACGTTAACGCCAGAAGAGCAACAAGAGAAGTTCTTGAAAGACGTACAGAGGCTTCAAGAGAGCAACGTGATCAGCAAGTTTACGCCCAATAGATCGCGATCAGGCAGCGCTTCGTCGAGTACTGGAGCGATGGCGTCCAGCTCGCATAGATCCATGCATGTACCTGATGGCAGCGTCATGCAACGTGTGTGTGACGACTGCGCGTGTGCATTGCAACAACGACGACATCACTACAACACCGTCAAGGTGTTCGAACTCTGTGAGTTTGACCTACAAGAGCTACGAACGCTGGGCCAAGTGTGTCGCAAGTGGCATCGAGCGACGATCATGTGTCTGTCCATGTTCCGTCAGATCCAGTACTATCTACCCACTCATCGCTTGTCAGAGAGAGAGAAGAAGATGCTGATCATCAACCGCAAGTTCCTTGGTGGCCATACCAAGTGGCTATTGCAGCTCGTGAAAGCTGTGGATTTCTCCGAAGAGAACGAACTGGAACATTTCGTAACGAATTTGACGGAGAGTGAAGTTGAAGGCCCTGCGTCGGCTCGAAGACGACATGAACGGAACTCGAAGCTGATCGATGAAGTGCTGGAGTTGCTGCAACAAGAACGCAAGCATAAGTGCATGTTGACGATGTGCTCGCGTCTCTGCAAGCCTCAAATTGGCAGCGTCGACGCTCTGGAGATCCTAGCGGACGAGACGATATACAACCATCGACTACGTGCGATGGCGGTAGACGCTCTGCTCAAGACTGCGACGGAGAACGAGTGGTGGAGCTATCTACAAGTCCTGTTGCACAGTCTTAGTGTGGAAACGAATGCTGCAGGAAGCAAACTGGGTCAGTCGCTGCTTCGTCAGGCTCAGTGTGATATTCGCTTCTGCTATGATTTCTATTGGGGACTAACAGTCATGGCAGAGGACCCGAGTTGTCGACGTAAGTTCGATGGCATGAAGCAGCGACTAGTACTCACACTGGCGCAGTTTAAGGACAAGTCGTCGAATGGGAGTTTGACGGAGACAAGGAAGTTCGTCAACGATGACATTGCAGAGCAGCTTCTTCGAGGACAAGAGCTTGTGGACTTGATGTGGAAGATCCCGCCGCGTATCCCGGTCGATGACGCACGTCGCATTCTGGAAGCGTCGATCAACAAGTCGTCTCTTGGTGCGTCGACTACAAGAGATGACAACCAGGTATCAAAAGGTGAACAGGAATGGCGACCTCTGCGTCTTCCGGTGGACCCACAAGTCAAGGTAAGAGGCATTAATTACCAGAAAACCGAAGTTAAACGCAGCGCGGAGGCACCCATGATCATCATGTGCACGGGCGTCGATCGCGACGAAGAAGCTGAAGACACTGCGGATGCCTGTACAGAGTCGCAGCGTAACACGTGGAGTCGACGCACTCAGAAGCTGCCCCACTATCGACTCATGTACAAGCGAGACGATCTACGGAAAGACTCGATCGTGCAGAACATCATCAACGTCATGTATCTGATACTGAAGCAAGAGACGAGACTGGATATCCCGCTAGTGACGTATCGCGTGCTCCCGACAAGCACCTTTGACGGACTCATTGAGATCGTGGAGAACGCACACACACTGTACTCCATTATTCGTGACCACGGCACGATCATGAACTTCCTGCATCACTACAACGGGCATCGCACACTCAGCGACATTTCTTCGTCATTTCGAGAGAGTTTGGCGGCGTATACAGTGATCACGTTTCTATTGGGCGTAGGAGACCGACACGCAGACAACGTGATGCTGACGAGGGATGGCATCCTGTTCCATATCGACTACGGCTTTATTCTGGGCAAAGATCCCAAGCCTCTGCAGCCTCCGATGCGTCTGGATCACTACATGATTGAAGCTCTGGGAGGCACACAGACCCCGCAATTCGAGCAGTTTAAACAGCTCTGCGTCATTGCGTTCAACTGTTTGAGGCGACATGTGAGTCTATTTATGATCATGTTGACGCTGGTGGTCAAGGCATTGCCAGAGATCACGGATTTCGGGGTGAATTACACCCAGAGCGACCTCGAAGCGTTTGTTATCGAACGTTTCTTACCTGGCCAATCGGACGATGAAGCAGCTACTGCTTTGATGCTGCGGATGGAGGGCAAACTGAACGAACGGATCGGTATGAAGCTTAGCGATTTCGTCCACGCGCACTCGAATGAGAAGACGGTGTCGAAAGGCATGACCTCAGTGGGATCGTCGGTTAAGATTGGAGTGGAGGCTGTCGAAGCTACGGTGTCCACTGTGGCGAGCTCGCTTACTAGTGGGGCGTCGTCTATCTACAAGTACATGTGGGGTGGGCCGCAACGGTAAACACCAGCTTGTAAATGCAGGAGTGTGGTGGCGGGGGCTGCGTGCGAGGGGAAAATTGTACGCATTTTGCTGTGAATGTGAGGTGTGAACTGCGAATACATTAATTCTTATGGTTCTGTGTGGGTACTTCTTAGATTCAAGTGAAATTGGTGAGCAGATAATAGTTTTTGCGCTATTTCTTATTGTAATTAACCGGCTAGTAGCGTCAGTAGGTTGCACGATGAGCCAATGTTCATGTTGGTGAGTGAGCCGCTACTTGATGGCACGCTCATGTTGACATTGCTCAGTGCCTCAAGGAACTGACTGTGCGTCGTGGCGTACGGGTTATTCCCGACGATGTAGAACTGCGTGCTGGAAGCCAAAGCAGAGATGATCATGCTGGAAATCGAGACATCTTCGGCGTCTATTGTGATGAGGAAGAACTGGTCGCTCACGCCGCGAGGGATGCCCAACTCGGGCTTCTGTGACAACGCGTAGCCCAAATATTGTTGTTCATAGTACAGACTCATGTTGAGCGCACCAATGCCGTCCAGTCCCACTCGCGCCGTGTTATCCAAAGTTACGTTAATGTTGAGTAGATACTCGGATGGCGTGCACTTAGTGAGCTCTATGTGTTCGATCACAGGCTCCGGCTCAGTAAAATCGCCGAAGCCCTCGAGTGGCAAGTCTCGTTTGAAGTCATTGTCAAAAGACATTCCCAATGCACGGATATCAAGAGATGCAGTGGCTGTTAAAGTGACTTCGGCTTCGTTCATGAGAGCGACAGTCATGGCGTTGAAGACGTCGAGGTCTGTGAGGGGCATATCGGTGGCAATGGTGATGTTATAGTCTTGAAATCCAGTGTTAATGTCTAGTCCTGGGAATGGTAGTGTGGCAAATACGGCGCCATCGAAGAGTAGTGAGACTGTTGTGTTGTCTGTGGTAGCGGACACGCCCACTTTGTGCTGGATGTTCACGTTGATATCGACCGTGAGGGTCTTGCTGTCCGGAATATCCACGATATCCATGGAGTTAAGCGTCATTTGCACGCTGTTAGCGTAGTGTCGGGCAATGGCAGGGATTATGGCGAACCTAGTTATGAGGAGTAGTACTACGAGTAGTAATAGGACCAGTCCGAGGATGACGAGAATCCGCTGCCTCTTGGTCATGTGCCAGCACAGAAACGTTTTGAGTGGTTTGTCGTCCGGTCCGAGAAGAGCTTCGTGACTTTCACCCTCTTTCATCTCCTTCACGCCAGTGCCGTCATGAAGTCGAACCGATGACGGATCACAGTACGGTGTCTGGGAACTAGGCGACGTGGCTTCTTGTATCTCGTGCTCGTTCATGTCTCAGCAGATATCGAAATGATCGGGCAGTTAGTTGCCCCAGATGAGAAAAATTTCTCGTCTGGAAGCGACATTTCGCGTCAAACGACAATGAATTTGCAGCGTCAATTTTAATTCTGATTGTGGGTACTGCAGCCACTTCAAGAAGAAAAATCTCTTACCCGCCACGGCGCCACTTCGATCCAATTAACTTGCTGACGTGTTCGCTTCCGACGCACGCTCTCCACGACACCTGCTGATGATTCCCTTCACAGGATGATGCGTGTACTTAACCAAAACAAAAGACCGCACTATTGCTTTGTCACCTTTTACGATCTCATTTCCGAATGTCATCCCGACACCATCGGTGAGCACGGGGTCTCTGAGCAGTCTTCCTCTGCGAAGATCACGATTCGTTGGCCAGCGGGGATGTGCGCGTACAGTAGCTTGTTCGCTTTCTCCCACCCACTGCAGTATAAGAACGTGACGCACGTTCGACTCGGCGCCATGTACTTCAGCTTCGCCGATATTTTAAAAAGCCCTGCTCGCGCTGACACCATGGAGCAACATCCGAATCAACAAAAATTGGCATGTTCCACAAAATTAGTAGTTGATATTTCGTCTAGCATTTGACTGCTACGAGGTCAGACTATTCCTTGGAGTAGCTGGCCATGTTAGAGACCTCGAACGACGTCTCCCAGTTCTGTCCATCGAATGTGTTTGTGGTGACGCTCGTGATGGTAGCGGGAACCACGCAGGCCACAGTGATCGCGTATCCATCAGGGTTACTGCGCGGAATGTAGAAAGCCTGTACGCCGCATATTTTGCAGAATAGGTGCTTGGCCTGATGCGTGTTGAATGTGTACTGCGTCAGCATATCCTCACCCTGTAGCAGACGGAAGCGGGACTGCGGAACGATGGCATGGGCGTTCTGCTTCATGGTGCAAATGGAACAGCTGCATTTCGTCTGTACTAAGTCACTCGGCGCATCGAAATCGAATTGCACCGACTTGCAATGGCAAGAGCCGTGATGCGTGACGAAGGGTTGGGTTGTCGACATGGTGACATTGTCACCATGTCGACAACCCCACCCTGTCATTGTCACTGACAATGACGATGGAGGCAGATTCAAGACTGACTGACTTGGTGTTTCTTCGTTTTTCCAGTGTTATCGTCTGTCCATCGGCGGAATGGTGAGTGAAGGTTACTTGATTGGTCGAAAAAATCCCCACCTCAAAACGCGGCAAATCTTATTGAGCGAGAAGCCGATGTCACTGATGAACAAAGTCCAAGTCCCGCAGCCGTGTTGCGCGTTGACCTGGGAACATTGCTCATGGACATGTACAACCGACGGTTCATTCACCGTTTGTATATCGTCTCACCCGCTGCGATCCAAACGGCCTTAACGTTCTGTCATATTTAGTCAAAAGTCTGAACGCGAAGATTCGTACTCATTGAATTTACTCTACTATCAGGGGTTAATGGTAACTCCAAAATCGGTGAAGTTAATATTGTGAAAATATCACCTGTAGACCAGTTAATATAAAAAATATCACCTAATATTTTCTTCTGAGACAATATGATATTATTAAATATCAACTTAATATTAGTTAATACGATATTATATTTTTCAATGATTGCGTAATCGAGCTACATTAACCAATCAGATGTCGTTAACGCTCGACTAGCTGAAGTATTACTAATCAACCGTGAGTACCGGGACAATTGTGAGTGACGGCAAGGTTGGCGTTGTGTGTTGGCACTGCTGAGCGCATTAATCTAGCGCCACAGGCAGCAGGTTTATTAGACGCACGATGTCGACGAGGAGATCGGTAGAGAACAAGAAAAAATGTTTTGATTTCGCTCTATCAACGTTAAACAGCTGCAGTTTTCCATCTCGATCGCCTTTGTCTGTGTCACAGTGAAATACTAGAGCAAATACTCGTCAGTCTTAAAGCCTACTGCTTTTCTAGAACCTGATCGAAAAAGTTATTTGGCTCCGCTCGGTTCACAGAGGTAAGCTGGCAAGAAACGTACTTAAGTGGGAAAATATCATAAAATATCATGTAGTATCTAATATTTTTCAGCTCTCCGAGCTAATATAAAAATATTATGTTAGCTTTTGCAAAAATGAGTTACTATTAATATTTAATATCGAAAATAGTACTATTACTATCAAAAATATCATATGATATTTGGTTACCATTAGCCCCTGTCTACTATACTCTGAGCTGTGGTGTAACGGGGTACGTAGCCCTAAGTGTACCCTGGTTATATGAAGTGTGACACTTCACACTTCAGCGGGATATTTGGTACAGGGTACCAAGGTCGTTCAAAGCCAACCATTGGTCAAACGACATTGCATTTCTATAGGTAACTTATAGTTTTTATTAAACCCAAACATAACCTACCTATAAATATACTCAGTTTACAATCTACCTTATTTAGGTCACTTCGCTCTCTTTAAATAAAGAGGGGACCTGTGAACTGCCGTTCACTGAGAGTTTGTATACTCTCGTAAGATAACTTCCGCTAGCGCAAGGTGCTGTGTGACCCCGTCACATGTGGGGAATCCCCACCCCCAAATACGAGGAATGACGGCTCGATTATGAACTTGGGGACCTCGAGCGGTCAAACGTACCAGAAAAATTCAGAATTTTGTGCGTTTTTGAAAGAGAAGACGAGCTCGTGTGACGATTTTGGAGTCGGTGATTATGACGTCAGCGACATCTTCTACGAGCGTAGCCAATACTGGAACAAGAGTGCAACAATTCCGAACAACGTCAGTATTATTGAACTGAGAAGGCACTTGAAGTGGAAGACGCAGGCGAGGGGAGGTGGCTGCTCTCCCTGAAGTTGTTGCCTCTTAGGTACTTAGCAAAACCGAAAGTAAGGAGAGCTTTCTTGTCCGGACTTGGGGTGTCCAGGGAAGCTCTCCATCTACCAACCATATAGTCTATCATCCTACACACCAACTATCCCTGAGAATCTGTGTTCTGTGCTATCGCAAGCGTTCACCCGCAGCTTGGTCGCACTGACAAATTAACACTCCTCCGCAGTGCGAATCGCAAAGCTACATTGTACTGCCTTGCTGCGATACAGCACCACCCATCGCCAAGCTCCCCCGATCCTTGGATCTCGTCAAACCACCTCCAAGTATGTCGGAGCTGTTCCAAGCACGACTTCCTAGGTTCTTGACGGCTGCACCTTGTACAGACTTCTTCAAATCTCATGAGCACCTTCCAGCCCAGTTGTTCATGTAGCATATCCGCTTCGACTGTATGATACACACTGGCACTTGGCATTATCTCATCGACTTCACGTTCATCTCTTCCCGGAGATATTCAAACTGTTCTTTTGGCAGTCCCTTTGTCAGTGTGTCTGCGACGTTTTCTTTTGACACCACACACTGCCGAGTTACTTCTTCGAGCTGCACATGCTTTTGGATGAAGTGAAACCGCACATCGATGTGCTTCACTCTGGAGTGATGAGACGGGTTCTCTGTAATGGCAATACAGGCTTGGTTGTCTTCATGTATCACTATCGCAGTTTGCTCATACCTCAACTCCTTAAGTAGCTGCCGTAGGAGCAATACCTCTCGAGTGCAATGAACCAAGGCCACATACTCTGCCTCTGCTGTTGATTGCGCCACAATGCGCTGCTTACGAGAGCTCCAGGTAACTGTGCAATTACCAATCATGGTCACATATCCCGAGACAGATCGGCGATCATCCTCACAAGCAGCATAGTCCGAGTCAGTAAACTTTTTCAAGACTACGGAGTCGCCACTGAAGTCGAAGCCATGTTCCCTTGTGGCTTTCAGGTACCGAATACATCGTTTTGCTGCTTCCCAATGGGACTCTCCGTAGTTTGCCAAGAATCGACTCACATCTTGGAGAGCGAACGCCATATCCGGCCGACTGCCGATGATCTGGTACATCAAGCTCCCTACCGCTTGTCGAAATGGCTTTTTCAACATTTTCGCTGTCGCCTCCTCAGTTGTTGGAGCTTGGAGCTTTGTCAGCTTCTTGCCTGCTGCTGTTGGTGTGGCAACACCAGCTCCGTGCTCCATATTAAACTTCTCGAGGATGGCGTCCACATTGTTTTGCTGGTTTATCCAGAGCTTTCGCGCTTCACGGTCACGTGTCACTTTAAGGCCGAGGATGAAGCTCATTTCACCGAGGTCCTTGGCCTTGAACTCCTCTTTGATTGTCTCTTTCATCTTTGCCATCGTGTTGGTGGTCTTGCACAGCAGCAATAAGTCGTCAGCATAAATTGCAACAATCTCTAACTCGCATCTGCTTTTTCGAATGTAGATGCATGACTCACACGTCAACTTTTCAAAGCCAGATCTCACAAGAAACGAATTGTGAGTGCCTTATGCCAGGCACGAGGAGCCTGTTTCAACCCGTATAGGCTCTTGTGAAGCTTGCACACCCAACCTTCTTTTCCATCGACCTCCATTCCTTGTGGCTGCTTCATATATACTTCCTCATCCAGGGTAGCGTTTAGGAACGCAGTCTCGATGTCCATCTGGTGGCATTCGAGATTCTCAATGCATGCAATTGCAAGCAGTACTCGGAGTGACCCGAGACGAACTACGGGAGCAAAAATCTCATCGAAGTCAATGTACTTGACCTGTTGACACCCGATTACAACCAAACGAGCTTTGTGTCTCTCGATACTGCCATCACTGCTGTATTTGACCTTGAACAGCCATCTGCAGGGGAGAGCTCGTTTTCTTGGAGGAAGATGCATCAATGTCCAAGTCTTATTCGATTTCAGTGAAGCCATTTCTTCTTGGATCGCCTCTTTCCGCTCACGTGCATCCGGCCTTGCTACAGCGTCACTGTACGTCTTCGGCTCCGATGCAATATCACAAGCCACAAAATCTCCGACTGTCGTTTTTGCTGCAACATTCTCTAGAGCAACCAAAGCAGCAGCTTCTTGCTGCTTCCGAACAGCATCTAGCAATGAATTTTTGGCGGCAGGTCTCTTAATAAGCACTTGTGGTGAGATTCCAGACACTATAGCACACGCCTCGCGGTCGTAGTCCCGAAGAACCGGACCCACTAGAGCTAGATTCACCTCGGATATGTCGAACGAACTGACGTAGTCTTCCAACAAAGCTATATCACGTGACGAAGGCTTGTCTTCCGTCGGTTTCTGACTGTAGAATAGGAGATCTGCTTCGCTGATCGCCCATCTGGTATAGTAGTTGAAGTCAACTGCACAGTGGGCACCTAACAAACGAAATTCTTGGCGACGCAATTCAACTGCTGCAGGAGAAAAAGTTTCATTGAACGAAACGTGGCATGATACCAGTATTTTGCCGCTTGAGCAATCCAACACTTTCCAAGCCTTTTGTTGAGGGGCATAACCAACAAATATCCCTCGTACCGAGCGATAGTCGAGTTTTTGACGCTTGTTGGAACGTCCACTCGCTTTGGTCGATGTCGTCACTGTCTTAGTTGGCAAGTACACATTCGCCAGCGATCCAAATACCCGTAGATGCGAGACGTCAGGAGGAAAGCCATACTAGGCCTCAAAGGGTGTTCGCTGTGTGCTTGCATTCATGGTACGATTCTGGAGGTAGACGACTGACAACAAAGCCTCCACCCACAACTGTTTTGGCGCATTGCTGTCTATGAGCATTGTGCGCACCTTGTTGAAGAGGATACGAAAACGAACCTCTGCCATTCCGTTTTGCTCCGGCGTCTAAAATGATGTTGTGTGCTGCGAGATTCCATTTAACTCGAAAATATTCTTCAACTGGTCCGACAAGTATTCACCACCATTGTCACTGACGATCTTCCGAACGGACCGATTGTGGTGGGTCTTTACAGCAGCTTTGTGCCGTACCAAGCAGTCAAAGCATTCACTACGGTGCTCCAGCAGGTAAACATGGCAATATCGCGTAAATGCATCAACGAAAAGAAGAACGTAACGCTTTCCAGTCAACGACGAGACCTCGATCGGACCACAAATATTGCTGTGAGCGACGTCGTTGCATTCCAGAACACCAAGTCGCGGAGCCGAAGGAAACGAGCGTCGCTTCTT